TATATATAATTAAATTATTAGATAATATAGCTAAAAGTTCATCATCTTGATCTTTTGAAGGAAATGTTAAAAAAATGAAGATATTTGATATGACATCAAAAAATTAGTTTGATCGGACATGAATCTCGAGGCAAAAATCAAGCCATAAACTTCAAAAATTAAATCCGGGATCACCTGAACTTCGATTTCTATAAACTTACAGTCAAACTGAGCGTCTCAAAAATACAAACCTAACAACACCTAATTCAACTCAATCCGAGCCCAAATGAGTCCAAATCAAGGACCCGAAGCACTGTTGGAAAGTTTGTACCACAATTTGAGTTACCAAACGGTCTCCGAACTTGATGAGCTTATGGTAGAATCGAGCGGCTCTACGAGACGAATCCAACGAGCCCAAGATCGCCAAATTCTAAAGTCATTAAGACCTTCAAATATTTGATGTACGGTTTACGATCAAAGGATTCAATATCGGTCGTTCATCCGAACCACTCCATATTTGCCCCTGATCTCTCATCTATTTACGAGTCATGCCACTCCATAAAATCTATAAATAGACTCCTCATTTCTCTTGAGAGGGAACCCAAGCAAGAAGAAGAGGAGAAGAGAAGAATAGGAGGGAAGAGACTCATCCTCGACCACCGCCGGAGTTCCCCCCGAACTCCAAATGACGCCGAAATTTTACTTAACTTCCACGGGACACCAGAATTCTGTTCGACTTTTACGGGACACCAGAATTCTGCCCGACTTCCACGGGACACTGAAATTCTTCCCAAGTAACGACAGAGTTCCCCCCTGACGCCGAAACTCCGCCCAAGTGATACCGGAGTTCTTCTCGGCCACCAACAAACATCAGATTTTTACCCGACGCCAGACCTTCACTCATCGCCAAGTTTCTACCCGACACCGGACTTCCACCGGTTATCGGACTTTCGCTAGACATCTATCTAAAGATGGATTTCTTTTTATTATTGGACTTCTACCTGACGCCAACTACAGTCTTTCTGACCTCTGTCGCCACCCGACTATGGTCCTCCTGACATACGTCGCAACCCATTACAGTCTTTCCGACCTCCGTCGCCCGCCGGCTACAGTCTTTCTGTCCTTCGTCGCCCATCAACTACGATCCTTCTGACTTACATCGCCAGCAGACTACAGCCTTTCCGACCTCCGTCGCCAGACAACGATCTTTATGACCTCCGTCACCCCTTAATAATATTAATGATAATTTTGAATATCATATAATAAAACTCACAGTGATATATATATTATTGTATACTTCTACATGTCCATATGGGTAATTCGTAGGTATCAAATAAGTTAAGTAAAAAAACTTGGTCAAAATAATCATTTTGTCTAGGCAAAACTTCCCTACAAGAAGCATGGTCCCATTAAAGTTATTGATGGGACTAGCCCATGGTCCAATGATGACTCTCCCTTGCAAAAAATCTTGGTGTGAGGACTCATCAATGAATGTCAATGAGACACTCAAAAGGACTCATACAAACCATCATATGCCCTTAGGACCACTCACCTCAATTAATCATGTTGATTGGTTGATCTGCAATAGCTATCAGCAATTGAGGTCATATGCTTTCTAATGTACTCTCAATGAAGCTACAAGAAGTATATAACTCTAAAGCAAATGACTAGAACTTCATCCTATGGACTTACACTCGGATTACATGCATCCACATCCAATGGACTCGCCCCTTGCTCCCAAACGGCTCAATGTTCATTCACGGGGAATCACCTTTGTTCCACTTACAATTATTGACTCACCATATGTCTCATATCCTAAAACTCGCCTAGGATACTCGCCCCTTAAAGACTACTCCAAGGCACTTGCCTGTGAGAAGGGGCTCACGTCAAAAGCAGGGATCCACACGCATATTATCCAATTAGTTCACGTGTCATTATTACTTTACAGTAGTGATATATTGCACTACTTTTATATTTTTCTATAGATGTTATTTTTCTTATTGACCTCTTGACCCTATAACTAAAATGTAAGGAAACATATTTTGATCTTTTTTTCTCGGATCTTTTTCTACTATTGTGAGATACTATAGATTTCCTTTGATTCTATAACCACTAGCCTAACTCACTAACTTCATTTTCTAACCCTATTCCGCTAACAACACGCTACTTTCACCGAGCATCATCCACGAACAAATCTAAGAACAACACATATCATAATTTTAAAACTATTTTGATGAAAAATATGTCAAAACTTTGACGCAATTTCCTGCATAGAAATACTCAAACCTCTTCAACTAATTGAAATTTTCCAATTAATCCATGGCTCGGATGGTAAAGGCAAAGCTCTATTGTCCACCTTCTCTTTGGAGTCTTTTTCTTTAATAAATTCAATAAAAAATAAAACAATAAAACACAAGAAAAAGCAAAGTAAAAGACAATTTAATTATTTATTAATTATATGATAAAATAATATTATTTATATTGATATCAAATAATTTTAAAATTTTCTCAATTATCTTATTATTTTGACCTAAAACTAAAACAAAATCTAATAAAAAAATAAGATATTATCGTAAAATAATAATTTTGTTATTTCATGCCAGTTTTTAAATTATAAAAATAATTATTTATATACTCACAATTCAACAGATTCCAAGCCTTAGAAAATAGAAATTCTTTAATAAATGCTTATTAGGAAATAATAATTTTTTATTTTTCTGAAAACTATTAAGTAATGCATTAAATTTTTAGAAAAAAAAAATCCAAGTTTATTTCTGAACTAATATTTAAATTTTTATTACCATTTATTATTTGATTGAAAACTCCCAAATAAATATTACCGAAAACCAATTAAAAAATTTCAGTTTGATTAATAAATATTCGGTAAAGAAAAATTCGCGGTTCTTTCTTTATATAATAAATAAAAGTAACTCCATAGTCCAGAATATCGCCAGCTGTGACACGTGTTTCGTTGAACCGATTCGGTGATGTAAACCGTCCGATCGTATAGTATCGGCAAATATACGGACGCGATGTGGATGAGGAAATCGAAGACCGGGTGGCTCTGTCGTGAATATTTGCTGAAAGGGAGGGTGTTTTGGTAAGGGCAGAGTTGGAATTAAGCATTTAAATCAGGTCAAAAAATGCCTCTTTTTTTTTCTTTTATTTATTTTATTTTAATAATTTCGTACCCGCCATTTTCTTTAATAGCGCTTTTACCGTCGATGGCTTGAAAATGCAGAAAAGGCCATTTGTCTCCATTTTCTCTCTGGGTTACTGAGAAGAAGGAACGCAGTCCTATTCGCCGGAGATTGGAAGGCTGAAACCCTAAATTTGATCGGAGAATGGAAGGATGTTGCCATGCGGGGACGGGACAATTGGTGCCGGAGAAGCAGGGGAAGGTGGTTGGGGACCACTGCATCGTCGAAGAGCTCCTGGATTTCTCCAATGAGGCAGAAGGGGATACGGAGATGGCCGCCGAGGAAGACGGGGTGTCGGAGGAGACGGGAGGAAATTGCTCCGCCGACAGCTGTGCAAATTCCTCCTCTGGCGGCGGAGGTGCCTCTCACACTCGCTTCGCCGACGAACTTGTCTGCCGGAGCCTCGCCGACGTCGGGCTCTCCGGCGACCTCTGTGAACCGGTATTTTTTTTTTCCAGCGCGATTGAGATCCGAAGATTTTTTTATTTCTAGTCGCTGCTCGAGTGGGACTCCTTTTCGTTTTTTTCGCCATAATTAGACCGCTCATCCGTTTGCCATTCTAGAAGATTCTGCATTTAAACGTTTCTGCTTTTCATTTTCGAAATTTTGAATTTTTCGTCTGTTTCGTTGTTGTTGATTGGAAATGTGATGTGAATGAGTAGCTATTGAGCTGAATTCCCCATAATATATTAATAAAAAAAATTATTATAATCCTTATCTTAATAAGAAACTGAATGTGTAAGATTTTCAGCAATTGCTATTTTTTTATATTCTTTATACATTTCCTCTCCAAGAGAACTTCAGTTATTTGTATTAGTGAGTGCAAAATTGTAAAATTTGTGATGGGAATTCTTCAATTATTGGGCCACTAATTTTCTTTTTCTTATTTTTTCCTTTTTTTCTCCATTAATTTTGATTTTTTTTTTTGTTTGGTTAATGTTTAGTTAAGGAAGAAATTAAAACGATTATCTTAAGTGAATGAGTCGTCACATTTGAAGCTCATCAAATGCATGAATTGTATGGTTTCCTATATTGATCTTCTTTAAACTATTTGGGAGCAAATTTTAGCAGAGACTTTGATCCTTCACAGCCCTTGAACTCATGGCGTCGTGATCTACAATGCAATTTATTTCACCAATTAATAGATATATCACCAATAGTGGTCCTTGCCAACCCCCTACTAACTACTCCCTAACTTAGAAGGTTGATCAGATCAACACAAGATTTGGATTGTTTGATCACTTACAAATAGACTCTGATTTTGTCCATTTGCAACTTTTTGAGCTCTAATATTATACAAAAATTATGTTGTTTTGAATGTCATGTGAAGTTCTTTTCCACCACATAGTATATTGTATTCTTGAATCCAAATTTCATCCATTTATGGTGTGAGGATGATCCCAACCATCAGAATTTACCTCTATAACTTTCCTTCGCCATTAGATCATGCTATAGTTTTATTCAGGAGCAGGATCATCTTGAACTTCCTTAATAGTCTCTATGACCTTTTAGCACCACTTCATCCATCGACCCAATGTCATTCCACATTTGTTTTCAAGAGGAGGATCATCTCATCCATTCTAGGTGGTCTTGTAAATCTTTCATTTTTACTTAATCAGTCTCTGTTGATTATGTGATGTCTTTGCTTCCTAGAGGAGGATTATATTGGTGCTCAACCTTATTATGTTGCTAACATTGAGAATACTAGCAACATAATATTTTCACTTTAATGCTTGGGTCATGATTATGAGTGAGTAACACTCTCACATGACAATCAATACATGCACTAAATATTGCATTTGTTACTAGTGCAAAATTGCATCATTCCTTGACATCAAGTTGCAATACTCATCAACATCAAGTCTTATACAGTCATGTAGATATGCGTCGCAATCTCACTTGCACCACAACCATCTCATCAAGAATTATGTCATACCCTTGCTTGTGTCACAATCAATGCCTGCAAACTCGCATTGAAACTCCAATTACATTATAGTCATCTATTTTAATGTTCATTTCACAAACTCATTCATATTGTAGTCATATCTGTTAGGACTTCCAATGCAATCTAGAATGTGTCACAGTCATGTGATTGCATACATCCATATCTATGTTTCTTGTATTATAATCATCACCTTCTAGATGTACAATGCTACCTTGCTTGCACCACAAGTCTTTCCTTGGATACCTTGGTCTCAACGTCGCTTGCATCGCAATTGTCTCATTCAAAACTTAGGCTGCAACCTAACTTGTGTTATTGTCATCTCTTTTAAGATCTACATCATAACCTAGCTTATAATGTAATTGTATCTATGAGGTTTTGGTCCAGTTTTATGATAGGTTGATCATGCAAGTTACCACAATAATGTAATTGTTTATATATAGGCATTGTAGGCTGATGTATAATTTGGGAAAAATTGAATAAAGATTTGGGTTAATTTTCCTCCTAAATCTGTCATCCTTTTTCTCTCTCCCTCTCTCTTGCAAGAAGCTAAAGAAGCTTCTTCTTCCTCCCAAGAATTTCCAACAAATGGTATCAGAGCCTCTTGAGGCGATCTCGAGGTGGAGGAAGGTTCAAAGAAGGAGGGAGGCTCGGTAGTGTGTGGAAGGCATAACTACTGCTTCTGCTTCACGTGTTGGAGCATGAGCTGGAGCCATGAATTGGAAAGCATGGTGGAGATCGTTTGCTAGCAAGATTGGGCTCGGTTCAGCGGGATTGCTCATGGAGTTAGTGCAGGAAGCCAGCTAGATTGCAGTAGGTGCGTACGTGGTTCTTTGATTGTAAAACTTGGACAAATGTGGAGATTGTGAGGTGTTGGTCCAATTTTAGGATATGTTGATCCTGCAAGTTACCACAACAATGTAAATGCCTATATATAAGCATTGTATGCTGATGTATAATTTGAAAATTTTTGAATAAAGCTTTAGGTTAGTTTTCCTCCAAAATTTGTCATCAATTCTCTCTCTCCCTCTCTCTTGCAAGAAAGCTAAAGAAGCTCTTAAGATTCCTCCTAAAGTTATAACACTATCCTTAAAAACCTATGACACATACTCATAAGCATCATTTTTGGCTATATAATTTTCATATATTTATACAGCATCATAGTTTAAGACAACATTGTTGCTTATACCTTTACAAATAACTTTAATGACCACTTATTAATTAGTCCCCATGACTCCCATCACATATTCACATGTGCTACCTCATTAGCATAGGTTGCTTATACAATCATAAAGGCTTCATTAATAAATGGCCCTATCAAAAGTGACTTTTATTTATCTCAAATCACTCAAATAAGAGAACAAAATGTTGGGCATCTAATAAAGGTTCAAACTCATCCCTTCCTAAAAACTTTTAAGCTCCAATAATGGGTTAAAAAACAACAAAGACAACTCCCGTTTGCAAGAAGCAAAGTCAAGAATTTGCAGCAGCGCAGGACAGCGACTGATCGGCAGCGGACATCTTTTGCTCACAAACATCTGTGTCTCTGTAGCAATGCGAGACCACGTCACAACGGCAAGCCGACGGAGCAAGTGACAGCTTGGGCGATTGACCGGCAAGGCAAAAATGGTGAGACGCGACTGATTGACGGATTGACCTGACCGATTGACTTGACTAGCAAAGCGAGATGTGATTGTGAAGTGACATCTAGGTCAATTCGAGTCAACCAGCGAGTTTTTTAGTCAACCTGAATCCGACCCATTTTTCAAACAGGTCGGATATTTTAACCGGACTCGACCCATTTCACAAAATGGTTGACCCAAACCTGAATTTTTTCAGGTCAGCTTTTGGGTCGTGTCAATTTTTGACACCCATACTTTAAAAGGGAAAGATTACTTTGAGGTGGACATAACCTTCAAAGGTTTGTACAAGTATGTGATGCATCACAAAATAGATTAATCGATCCTTTCTTAATTTGATTCGATTTTTTTTTTCATGGCTGGCAATGATTGTCGGTGTCGAGTAAGGCTACGACTGACAACTTCAATATTTTTAAGGATTTAACATGGCTATTTTCATAATGGATTAAAGTCATCAAATAAAAATCTAAATAACAATCCTAATATTTATTCAAACTTCTTGAGTTGAACCTCTTGCAAATTTACAAGAAATGAGCTTAATGTTAGGTGCCAATTTTTGGGCGAATTATTACGTCCGGTGACCGGATGTCCGGACATCCAATCCGGAAGCGCCACGTCATCCAAATACACTGGAACCCGATGTATTTTGGTGACGTGGCGCGTCTGGATTGGTGTCCCGATGAATTCGAACACCGGACGTAATAATTTGCTCAATCTTTGACCCTTCAAAGACTCTTATGAGAGAAGTCCAGTCAATATGCCCTTCTATTAATAAAGTTCAAGTCGAAGCCCTAGCTTTTATCAAAGCTTTCTTTTTTTCTTCAAGTTCATTTTTTTAGCATAATGTAGTTCTCCCAAAACGCCAACCATCTACTTGACCAACAATAAACTCTCCTTTAGCTTAGCAAATCGTTCAGAAACTAATAGTGGATTAATTATTCTGTGTGGATATCGAACGTTGTTCGAAGACCAACCTGAATGTGCCACATCACCTCTTTGCTTGGTACCGCGGCTCGGTACTGTTGGATACCGCTCGGCACCGCGGCTTGGTACTGCTGATGTGACACATTCTGATTGATCTCCGAACGATGTTCTACATCCGATCTCCACACAGAATAATTTCTCGTAATAGTGGCAAGCTGATACAACCCAAAAAAGCCTCATTGTCAACTCAGATAGTGTAGGCGATGCACCAAGCTTGAAAGAATGTAATTTTATATTAAAATGAATTTTTAAAATAAATATTTTATAGAAAAAAATACTATTGCATTAATCTTAAAGTAATTTTAATGATGTTTCACTTCATCGTGATTCTATTTATAGAAAAAAAATTATGTTAGGATGCTCTATCAAAAAATATTGATGATGAATTTATATTACACTCATCTCATCGCTTTTGATTTAAATTTTGATCAAAATCTGATTAATTTTTTCTTAATTTATATAAAAAATGTCATGAAAAATTTTTTTCCCGTGTTCTATGATATTTCCATAGATTTAATGAAGATGTGATTTTTCTTTTACCGTTTTGTTCTATTTTCTTCTCAGTATGAGGAGCTTGCAGAGCTCGAATGGCTATCAAAGTTCGTGGAGGATTCCTTCTCCAGCGACGAACCCCATAAACAGCAGCTCATTTCCGGCCTCAAATCCACCTCCTCTCAACCAACTCACGGAACAAATTCCCACTTCCCCACCGCCAACGACGCCGCCCACGAGCCGCCGCCGTTCACCACCGATGCTCCAGTTCCCGGCAAAGCCCGGACCAAGCGCGCCCGAACGGCTCCCTGCAGCTGGTCTTCACGGCTCCTCCTTGTCTCTCTATCGAGCGAGAAGAAGAAGTCGCCGTTTCCGGCGGCTCTGTCGCCGTCTCCTGACGGCCGGAAATGCCTTCACTGCGCCGCCGAAAGGACGCCACAGTGGCGAACCGGACCCATGGGGCCGAAAACCCTGTGCAATGCCTGCGGCGTCCGGTTCAAATCCGGCCGTCTCGTGCCGGAGTATCGACCGGCTGCGAGCCCCACCTTTGTGCTCTCCAAGCACTCGAACTCCCATCGAAAGGTTCTTGAGCTTCGCCGACAGAAGGAGACTCAGGACCAGCAGCCGCAGCAGTTTTTAACTGTTCATAACAGGGCGGCGGCGGCCGGAGATGAGTTCCTGATTCAGCACCGGCTTCTAGAGGACGGCCGGCGGGTTTTCTAATGGGTGGATTTCAGGATTATTAATAATTTTAGAAGTTGATTAGTCTGATAAATCAGAATTAGTGGGTCTGAGGAAGCATTGTATTGTCTTCTTCTGCTTTAATCTTTTTTTCACTAACTTTTTTTATTTTTTATTATTTTTTTCAGTTCATTAATTAAGGAGAGTTAATCTCAAATAAAAGTGTTAATTTATGAGGACGGAGGGTTATGGGACACAAATCTTATGAGCTTTTTTTTTTTTAATTCGGGGGAGGGTTTTTGATGGGTGTCACATAAATTTATTTGGGCATGTTTTAAATTTAAAATGATTAATTTAATATAAATATAATATTAATTTTAAAATAAATTCAATAACTTTCAAGCTCCTATTAATTATTTTATATTTTTCTTATTTTTTAGAGAGTTAGGTCTTTTTTAAGTATTTGTTGTTGTGCAATAAACACCACGGAAATAATAAATTATATAATAAATAGTAAAAGAATACGGCGATTTACGTGGTTCTACGAAGATCTTTATGTAGGGGAGAATGATTTCATTATATTAGTGAACAAATAGGGATTACAATGGGCTTTCAAGCTCAATCTCAAGTACAATAGCCCTTAAACCCCTCGATATATATATTTGAGGAAAAATAATTAACGAAAAAGCTTTCTAAACAAATCTCAATCAAATCAATTAATTAGAAAAATAATCCACTCTCTAATCATTTATAATAATGAACTATTAAAATTTTCCAAATAAAAAACTTATTCGATTTGGAAATAATTTCAAATCAATAATCTCAACCTCATATTTTATTTTAGAAGGTGGAATATGACAAATCAAACTCCAATATCAAAATGACTGCATCCAAATAATTGCCTACATACCCCCCTCCCAAGGGATCAAGCCGAGCATAGTTCTTTAAAATAAGTAAATAATCAGTCATGAGTTATGCACCACTGTCGCGGTAAATGCATCTCCAAGCATGCATTAATTGTTCCCTTCAGATATCTCAGGATACTCTTCACAGCTTGTCAATAACTCATTCATGTATCATGCATGAACCTACTCATAACGCCAACTGCTTGTGTAGTGTTTGGATCAAGCTGCATCAAAATCAGACCATATTATGCTACAAGTGCCAAGTAACCATGGGTCGAGGGATTCTTAACCATTGGGAAGAACACCTCATCATAAGTAGTTCCTTTCTATCGCATAGAGTATTTAGCCAATAACGTAGCCTTATACTGCACATCAACTCATGAGATTATTCCTTCTTTGCACACATCCATTTGCACCCAATAGCTTTTCTTCCTGGAGGAATTCACCAACCTCCAAGTAGCATCTTTCTAAAAAGACCCTATCTCTTCATCTATAGTCTTCTTCCAAAGATCACCATCAGGAATATTCACTGCTTCCTTATAGTAACTAGAAACTTCAGCCTTCGTGGCTGAAAATGCCAATGCAATGTGATCCATTAACTAAGCTGGTTTTGGGATATTCTAGCACCTGGACATATTCTTCGTAAAAAATTCTTGAGCATGAATCTCAACCTCAACATCATCTTCTACTTCTTGATCTGCAGCTGAATCAGGTACCTGGTAGAAATGATCTTCCTCTGTAGAGAAAATGAAGTTGCATCAAACTTCTGCGGTGCATTTGTGGTCCCAATAGAACTCTCCACATGCTTCGAATCCTGAAGCTTCAGCATGCTTGCATCATCGAAAGTAACATCCCTACTATAAACAATCTTCTTTTCTACCGGATCATAGAGTTTGAAGCCCTTGATTCCATGCCTGAAGCAAATAAAGATTGCCTTCTTTGCTCGTGATTTCAATTTATCATCCTAAACTTGCAAGTGCTTATAATCTCTAGCAAGAAATAAACTGATGAAAACAAAAGATTACAATTTTTTAAAACTAATGAAATAGTGAAGTCTCATTATGTGTGCTCATTTTATGAAATGGCATAGCCAATTTTGGTTTCACTTGGAATGGCTTTCTTACTACTTTTTAAAGCCGTTTTTTTAGTAAAAAAAAATTAGTTTAAAATATTTATGTACGCAAAATGTTTTTTAGTAATAATGAATGTTCCCAAGATTAATAAAAAAACTACAATAATAACTATATCAAGTTTAAAAAGAAAGAAATATGTGACTTGTCCAGATCTGATGCAATATGTTGAATTAACTCGAAAAATTATATACCATGAAAAATAGTTTTAAATGGAAGTTATATTTTTTTCTTACAGATTTTAACATGATGTATGAAAATTCAAAAGTAATATTGTACAAACAGCTAAGGTTTCGTTTGGTACAATTTTCTTTCTACTTTCGAAAATAATTTTTAATACAAAAACTTTTAGTTCAAATTTTTTTCGTACTAGAAAGCAATAAGAAAAAATGTTTGTGAGTGTTGGTCTATAAAATATCATTCAATTAATTATTGATAATGCTATAATTATAAATATGCAAAGGAGTTACTACAAGAAAAGTATGGTAATAGTTATTGGTCAACTTATTGTGTGAATTATTTAAATCTTATTTTGAAAGATATTCATATTTATAATTTGTCGGCATTTATAACCGGTCACTATTATAAGATTCATCATTTTGGATATTAATTTTGGAATAATTACTTAGTTATGTTAAAATTAATAGGCCCGCTCATATGATTATTATAGGTGTGGTTGATTCTAATGAGAACTATCTCTTAGGTTTCGTTTGAGACGGTTTTTTTATTGCTTCGTAAAATGGAATCTTAGTATAAAAATTAAAAATTTTATATTAAAATTCTGTTTTAATAATCAATAAAAAAGTTGTCCCTAACAAATTCTTAGTTATCTTTATGATGCAATGTCCAAAACATGAATGCTAATCGAAAGCATGATTAAGAATATAAAGAAATTGGACAAGCCATATATAAACCATCTTCGTTAAGGTATTCGCTCGACTGTATAATTTTGGAGCCCATATTTTCAATATAATCAAGAAAACTATTATTATAAACTTCAAGTCTTGCAAGATTTAGTTAAAGTTGTTTAAAATAAGGATGTAGGTAAAAAGCATATATTTGTGTTGAATGATGTTAGAATTTATCAAAATAATTTAAAAAGTTTTAGAAAGTCAATTGCTCTCATTATGTCAAAAGAAATTAAATCTAGTTAAACCTTGATGAGTGATATGTCACCAAAAATAGACTTGATCCAGCACGAATCTCGAGGCATATACAAGTTGAAAACTTCTGAAATTAAATTTGAGATCATTTGAACTCCGATTTCAGTAAACTCATAGTTAAATGAACCATCTCAAAGAGACAAACCCAACGACAACAAAATCGATTTGGTCTAAGCCCAAATGGGTCTGAATCAGGAGTCTGAAGCATATTTGGACGCCAACCTAGAGAGATCCCAAGGTCAAATTTCACAAGATGAAAAGTCCAGTGGAATGGGCTATTGATATTTGAAGGTTTTATATCCTTTGGGTTTCAGTTGAGTTTTTAGGATTAGAGATCTTGGATTGACCTCATATTTGGAGGGTCAATCCTAGGGACATGCCTAATCTATATGTAATTAAAAATTTGTGAATCCAATGTCATTTGGTTTGGTTTTGAAGTGATTGAAAAATCATCCAAAAAGAGTTATGGGACATAGGCTTTTGGTCTTTAGTTCTAGTTTGAAATTTTGGATTTAGCTTTGGTTTTGAATTTGATTGATTTAATTTGATTCACTCACATCAATAACAATCATTTAGGTGATTTTTAATGATTGGGTGGAGGAGATCAAGTGGTGGTCACTAGGTGTCAACTACTTGAGAGAAATTGGGTTTGATTTGAATTTAATTTGAACTGGATTAGCATTTGGATTTAATTTTGAATTATTTAACCTCACATAATAGTGAGGTTAACAAGAAGAGTTCCCTTTAAGTGGTGGAAGACAACCTATGCATCGTCAAGACTTTCAGTAGTTATCACCCTAACTGAAGTCATCCTTCAACACTCCATTCCTTCGTCTTCAAATTATTGGGCATAGACTCTTACATAGGGTCATCCAACCCTTACGATTATATCGATCATTATAGAACTATTATATATATTCAATAAGCCTCAGATGTGCTCCTCTACCAACTATTTCCTACTATCCTCAAAGGACAAGCTCATACATGATTCTACTCACTCCTGACTTGAACTATATATTCTCATGTTCGTCAAGTTGGCCAAATTGTTTGTCAAATAATTTATCGTTAATCAAGGAATTATTGAGGACTCTTCCTAGGAGGCTCAACAAATTCTAAGGGTGGATCCCATTTTGCTAAGAGGAGTTTTCCTCAGAGGGCTTCGTCCTGGACCTTTTTACTCGGCATTCATGCGAGACATGATACATTCATATGCTAACATGATTCATCGTGTGGAGCACATATCTTGGCAGATGAAACCATCAATACTCATAAGAAGTAATTTGAGCAAATAACTAAGAGCGTAAAAATGCACTAGGGACAGATGATTAATCGTCACAACGAAAGAAGCAGGAGAGTAATAACAAATCCCCTCGGCCTTCACAGTATCAACGGGAGACTCGACTAGAGAAGGAGTATACACCTCTCAATCTGTCTCAAGCAAATATAGTTAGGGATATCTAAGATGAAGAGAATATTAAGTGGCCAAATCCCCTAAAGCCAAACTAAAAAAACTGCAAGCAATGCTGCTACTTCCACCGTAGTCATGGACACAACTGAAATATGCAAATAACTTAAGAAGGAAATCAAGAGACTAATCCAACAAGGCTACCTTAGTTTGTTCATGTGAAATCCACCTTATCATAAGGACACTCCTCTTGCTAGGGAGCAACCAATGCAAATACAACTGCGAAATAATCATCAAATGGATTGAGAGATTAAGACCATTGTTTGGGGCCCATATTATCCAACCAATTCTTACTCATGGTGAACGAGGAGCCAGTAAAAAAAAAAAGGCTCATGCTGACCACTCTATTACTTTTGATGATGCCGATCTGGAGGGCATTCAGACCCCCTCATTAGGATCAACTTGTAATCGATGCAAGGATTGGGGAACCATATTTCAATGTCAAAAGGATCTTAATTGATAATGGGAGCTCGATGGATGCCCTATTCTACTCCACCTTTCTTAGTATTGGTCCGGTCAGGCAAAAGATGTACGGGTAGAAGGGACAATTAGCCTCCCAATCACACTTATAGAATTCCCTTGACATGCTACTCATCTAATCCAATTCGTTGTAGTAAAGTCAGAATCATCTTACAACGCTATATTTGTGAGGCCCCTACTGTCAATGTTCGGAGTTGTTGCCTCCATTCCGCATCTTAAGTTGAATTTTTTAACTCCATCTAGTATTACCATGGTGCGTTGAAATCAATAAATAGCACAATCACGTTACGTCAAATAGGCTCGGCCACGTCCATCAGTTACTCTAAACATTGAGAATTTTTTAAGGGATTTCATAATTTGCACACACATGATTTACACATCAACTAATTCAACATTACTACAATGATCGTTATTACACCATGCTTCTTGAAAAGAAATTTGGCTAGTGCATTTTTCTCTACTCTATGAGTTCACATTGTGCCTTCATGTGCCTTTTCTCCTCTCAAATTCTCTCTCTTTTTTTTTATATAGGAGGATTTACATACACATCATACAAGTCTTATATATTTACATAGCTAAACTTACATATTTCTCATATAACATTTTCATTTCTCCATCACATCAAAATATATATATATATATATATATATCATCCTCATCTCAGCAACTCAAATTAAATTAATTTTAAGTTTCTCATTTAATGGCCAACATTTTGTCATAAAGTATTATAGATCTCACTACCATCTTATAAAATTCTCCTATATAATTAAAAAAACAATTAGAATAAATTTTAAAATTTTAATTTATATTGATATCAATATAATTTATAAATAATATATATTAAACAAATCTCAAAATATTCAAAAATTTTAAAATATTTTTTGATAAAAAATTAAAATAATTATGTATTTGAGTAGTACAATTAGAATTTTCATTCTACTTTGCTTTTGGGAAGGTACACCATCATAATTATGTCAAATTACAATCTTAGAGGATTTGAATGATCATTTGTTTAATATTTCTCATTTGCAAAAGTTATAAAATTTCCTTAGCTCTTTCATATCATACTAAAAAAAAATTATTGAAGATTTATTTAAAATTAACGATAAAAATTTTTAAAATCTCAAGTGAATTATTATGAAGAATCTGGTCAAATTGGTGACAATGAAAATATGATATCTTAGATGATAGACAGAGCGTGTGTGTGATAAAAAAAGATTTGACTCAATTTTGAGCTAGTAAGAATCAAGGCTAATGCCATATGAAATTTGAGGGTACTCGAACAAGTATTGCCTAAAGAAAGACAAGTAAGCATATTTGATGAATACTTGTACCAGTTGTTTGTCAAATATTTTTAGATGGGCATGATTATTGAGTTTAAATTAGCTAGTCATGTCAATAGGTGATTGCTATTGGTTGAGTTTTGTTGAATCAAGTCCATATTTTGGCTAATTTTATCTCTAGAGATGCCTAATTGTACAATGACTTCATGTATAATGACCACCAGCATTTGTAGCATGTTGGTCGAGTTTAGCCATGTTCAATTAAATGAAAGTCAACTCATGATGATAGTAAATTACATTATCCTCTTCAAGAAATCTTTAGTGTTGATTGTTAGGTAAAAAGTAAGATAGATGATAGCTAGATCTCTTCTTTTTTGTCTTTTTATAATGGCCAAACTTATATAAGTCAATGTTTTAGAAGTGTAAGAGTTTTTTTTTTTTTAATGAATGAAAGATATATTTGTTTGCTAATGACATCTTGTTATTTATTTATGTTTAGTTTATGGATCTTTTTTTTTTTTTAAGTCAAAGGCATTTGGCCCTTTGATTTCATGTGAGAGGTGTATTTGATCTATCATTTAAGGTTTTTGAGTTATCTTATAAATATTCGCCCATCTCATTATAAATTCCATGTGTCCTATTTGAACAATTTTGATATTAACATATGTTGATCTAACAATATGTGATGTGTGCAATTTTTGTGTTTTTTATTGTGAAGAGATCGAGTAAAGAAAGAGGCTTTATTAAAATAAAAAAAAGGTTGTATTAACTTAATTTATTAATATTCTTCCATTTGTCAACTATAGGGCTCCCCTATAAATTCTTTTTCATCATTTTTTATCTAAAGATTTTTTATGCTCAAAAGTATTCAAAGACATTGCAAATATAGATATTATTTTTAAGACATTGCAAATATATAATAATGATCCACTTCCACAATTAGGGTGAAGTATATCAGCATGATTCTACTTAATTGTAAGCATCTAACAGGGTTTCACCACTAGAGTTAATTAATGAAATTAGTTCCAAAATGAATATTAAGAAATGAAATGTCACATCCAAAATTAATATAATCCGCATATCTTGGCATATTATATCAAAGTTAAATTACATTATGTGAACTACCATTGAATCATGAAAGTATATTTATGATTATGTATAATATGTCATCCTTTAATCACCACATAGTCACCTTGACCATAAATATCATTAGATAAGATTTAGATCAAAACCTTTATTGAACTTATATACAAATTCTTATAAACGCCACATCATGTAAATACATTATCATTTACATTCACATGATACATAACATTTACATCATCCGTTAACATGTTTATTTACATCATAAAATTACCATATAAATTATTATTTTTATGGTTCAAATTAATTTTTTGTTAAGCCATTGTAAGATTAAAATAAAATCTAAATAATTTTTTTTTATTTTGATGACCTTAATTTAAAATTCAAATAAAATAAATTCAAGTTGATTTTAATTTGACTCAATAATCAATTTATTTTTTATTGAAGAGATGAACTGTAGATTTGATTGACCTAATGGGCCTTAAATAGCTAAAAACTGCTCTAATCAATTTGGGCTTTTCCATCCCTGAATTTAAAAGGCTTCTTAAGATGGGCTCCAATATATATATAAATTACGATAAATGTATGAAAACCCCCAAATTTTAAATGGCGAATTGAAGTCGACCTAACCGCTCCACCTCCATAACACCCAGCTTTCATGTCCACGTCCAATTTTACCGCGCCCCCTTGCCCAAGATTCGCTTGCAGGTATTCCTAATCCGGCGTGGAGGCCGGCGAAAGGTGAAAACTTTTGAGTATCTACCAATCCCTCACTCTCTATCTCAATCTATTTCAATCTATAAAACCGGGCGTGTTCTTTTTGATCCACCGCATATGTCTCTATATCCGTCTATTTCTTTCTGTTTCTCTTCCCAATCCCTTTTTTATTTCATATAGTTCGCAAATTCTGAAGCCGAGCGCAAACAAGGCGTCTATTTCCTAAATTACGATCAGAAGATATTCATTACGGAAACCCTAATAACTTCCAATCTACACCCGGGTTGCTCCAAACTTGGTTTTCGTCTTTGGGTTACAGACCACCGGATCTGCGCAGATTACTATGTTTAGATATTGTATCGGATGACCCGAAGTTGTCGGGAATGGGAATGGATGAATGAAGAATGCCAGAACTGCGTGAGGGTGGTTGCAGAGGGCGGGCACTGAAGGATCAAGTAGTGCGGGTCGATAGGGTCGCCACTTGGAGGGACGGAAGGAGCAGACAAGCGGTGCAGGAGAACGGTGTGAAAAGGCCTGCTTTGGCGGAGAATAGGTTCTTGGAGTGCGTTGGGGAGACTGAGGGCTTAATCGGGGAAGAAGCCGACGAAAGGAGGATGGGTGACAATGATAGCGGTGGCAGGAGCGCGAATAAGCTCCACAAAGGCGAGGATGAGGGTTGCACCCCATCCTTGCCGGAAAAGGTTTGCCCTTTCCTTGACGCGATCCTAATATCTAAGACTGCTTTGTGATTTTTTTTTTTATTTGGGCGTGTTTAACTGACAATTTTCTTGATGAATCCAAGACTTGAGATGCTGCTGGAAGAATAAATGAGATGGTTTTTCTGCTTTATCTCATTGGTTTATCTCTTTCTTTTCACATTGTTTAGAATTTTGTTATCTTCATTTTTCAACTTGGCATAGGGAGATTGTGACAGATTGAAGGAAAATCCTGTGCGTTTTTTATTTAATGTTCTTCATGATAAGTTGCACTTTTTTCCATCTTGGCATCACCGTGGTTGTTCTTTATCACAGCAGAGCTTTCTGTTTAATCATTTATTTTTTGGGGGTTATTATAAAAAATTGCTTCTCCTTGTTTTGCTATGCTGTAATAACGAACATTTACTTGCTGCTATTGATAGAATTTCTTCTGATACTTTTTTAGTTTATTTTATACGGCCAGAAAGTTGAGAAGCTGGTGCTTCTTTTTAAGATGCTTTGCCCAGAAATTTTCCCCAACTAATTTTTTGAGACAAAATTTATTGTAAAAATTTCATACTATTCTTCTATGGTGGAGATCCTCTTCTGAGTTGAAATAAGAATGCAACTTTTTAAATCCATCTGCTTATTGGTTTTGTAATTAAGAATTTGAAGGCACATTAAAGTATTGAATTTAGTTACACATCAGATAGTTGAAAGTTATATTGGTTTAGAAATAATTGATGCAATAATAATAAATGGTTGCTATTATTTATACTCTGCTTCAACTTTTGTGTTGAAAATGAGTTTTGTTGTTGGTGTATCTAGCGCAGCTTTGATCTATCTTTAGTTCACACTTCTTAACATATGGCGCTGGAGCCAATAGTTCAGTGGCGATCAAGTGGTTTATGGTATTTGTGGTGATGTTTTGCCTTCCACCATTGTTGATTAAAGCTATATTTGGGACGATTGCAACTATATGTAAAAATAATAATGCAAATATTATGGGATAATGTTTTTTTTTTTTTTGTGGGTATTATGGACTTTCTCTTTTAACAAAAGTTTGATACTAATTTTCTTATAGCTGCCATATTTTAATATTTTCTATTATAAAATATTATCTCTTCTCACAAGAACGTTTAAAAAGCAATAGGAAAGCTATAGTCAAATTGAATTGCAATAGTTTTCTAGAAATCAAAGCTATGAAAAAGTTGGACTAAGAAAGCCATTAAGGTTCAAGAGTTGGTGATTCCCACAGGCTCCATGTTGAGTGGGGTCTTATGCAATGATATTTGATTATGTTAAAAAGTTTTCATTTGATAAGTCATAGATGATGTATAGAGCTCTTATGTAAGGTGAGATTTTTAAGGTTTAATAGAGTTTTGAGTTTAGGCTCACATTGGATGGTTAAAATATATATTGTGAGAATACTAGGTAGTTGGCTCTTATCCATAGGCATAAAATTTTGTTTGAAAACAAGTTTGACTATTGGTGTATTAGACACGTCTAAGGGAAAAGATTTTAATAATAAAAATAGTTGGTGGTAGAATCAAAATGTGTAAGAAAATATTAAAAATTAGAATATTTGTTATAAAAATCGATTTAGATGTAAAAATTCTGATAATTGTGATAGACTATAGATATAAAGAGGCTCATAATGTGTATAAGAAAACAATATGCAATGCAAAGATTTTAGTTTTTATTGATTTATATTATAGATTAGATACTAAAGAGGATGAAAGATATGTGTATAAGTTAGTCAAACAAATAGATTGGAGCAGTAAGGATTTAGTTCAAGTGAAATGCATCAAAAATGAATATCAAAAAGTATTTTTATTTGAAGAGGATATTCAACAAATGTAGATGAGATATTTTGCTAAACTTTTCAATGAAGATTGTGAGAATACACTTGACATGAGTGACCTTAGCACCCAAATTGAAAATAAATATTTTTATTTTTATCGCCGTATCAGTAAAACCGAAGTTAGATAGACTTTAAAGAAAATGAAGTGTGGAAAGCTGTTGGACCTGATGATATTTCAATAGAGGTGTGGAAATGCTTAGGAGATGAAGGAATTTCTTGGATTAGTAAACTTTTTTAATATTATTCTAAAGATTAAAAATATGTCAGATGAGTGGAGAAGAGTGTGTTGATTCCTATTTTTAAGAATAAATGTGATGCACAATATTGTGTGAATTATAGATGAACTAAGTTAATATGTCATACTTTAAAACTATGAGAGAGTTATGGAGCATATGTTATGACGTGATACTAATGCTTCTCATAATCAATTTGGATTCATGTTGGGTAGGTCTACTATGGAAGACTATGAAAGCTATACATTTATTGAGAGGTTTGATGGAGAAGTATAGAGAGAATAAGGAGGATCTTCATTTGATATTTATTGATTTAGAGAAAGCAAATGATAAAGTTCCAAGAGATGTGCTATGGAGAGTTCTAAAAAATAAAGGGGTTAATAATGCTTATATTCAAGTCATTAAGTATATGTTGCATACTATTAGATTTAGTTTATGTTAAGAAATGTAGAGATAGACCTAAAAAGACTTTGTTAGAAAATATTAAAAATGATCTTTTTTATTAGATTAAAATGAGAAATTGACTCTTACCATGACACAATGGAGAAAAAGGATTCATATAGCCGACCTCACATAGTGGGATAAAGGCTTGATGTTGTTGTTGTTGTTTGATTTACCCTCTCTACTAAAGATTGAATTGCTAACTTTCAAGTGGAGGATAACTAGTTATATCATGGATAAAAACTTGGGTGGCAGCTTAAGTTTTATTGTATATATATATATATAAAGTAGTATAATTAGATAATCGTGTCATTGTATATTCATTTATTGATGCAAACTATTAGTGTATTAGACACAATTTTTGTTCTCCTTTGATTTACCCTCTCTACTAAAGATTGAATTGTTAACTTTGAAGTGTTGGATAACTAGTTGGATCATTCTAAACTATTTTTATGTATATTTGTGAGGATACAAACTTGGGTGGAAGCTTAAGTTTATATATATATATATATATATATATACTTCTTGTTATATAATTATTTTTTGTAACATTTTAAGCAATATAATTAGATAATCTTGTCATTGTATATTCATTTATTAATGCAAACTATTGGTGCATTAGACACAATTTTTTTCCTCCTTTGATTAACCCTCTCTACTAAGCATTGAATTGTTAACTTTCAAGTGTAGGATAACTTAGTTGGATCATTCTAAGATATCTTTATCGTATATTTGTGTGTTGATACAAACTTGGGTGGCAGCTTAAGTTTTACTTTATATATATATTCTTCTTGTCATATAATTACTTTTTTAATATTTTAAGCAATATAATTAGGTAGTAGTGTCATTATATATTCATTTATTAATACAAATTAGGCATATTTAATTGTTTTAGGATTGCCAAATTACACAGCTAAGTATTAATTTACACTTTGGCATCTTATTCTATTTATTTATGTTGGTGAAAACCTTGAGTTGGTGTTCTAAAAGCCTTTTTCAATGGATTTGACAAGTTCTTGTGCCTTCCCACTGGTCCCTTACCCCATCCTTTCCTGTACCAAAAGCTGTATTCTATTTGTGTCCTTTCATATTATGACACGACTAAGGTCGTGTAAGTTCACCTTATGCTGAGCTGCTTTGCAAGGGAGTTTTGTTAATTGATTGTTCCTGTATTTTTTGCTGTGAAGACAATGTCAGTTCTTGGCTTGTAGTCTGCACGTCATTCTCTTAATAATTATGTTAGGCCGGTTCAGGGTGAACCGGCATAGCCGGTCCAAAGGCCGGCTCAATTGTTCTACAGGAGGTGGAAGTAGTCCGCCTCCCTTGGTTTTGTCCGCTCAAAGGGTGGGCCCCACTTGTCCACTTGAATTCAAATTTAAAAGGAGTGGGCTGTTAGGGCTTGGGAGGGAAATTAGATTAGGAAAGCTTTTGCATTAAACAATATGAGAGGATTAGGAGAGATTATATTTTGATTGATTGGAATTAGGGTTTCTTGGCGACTTGGGCTCTAGACTCTCTTATCTAGAGATTTGGGAGAGACAATCCTCCTCTCGAATTGAGGATCAATTGTATCTTGCTTTGAGTTTTGCTTTGCTTTATTTCCACTATCGTTTCTAGATTGATTTGTCCAAGTTTTTTCTTATTTTTCTCGCTGTTTTGAACCAATTATTGCTAGGGTTGCTTGCGAACTCAAGTAAATTCGATAGGATTACTTGCGAACTCAAGTATTTCCTATCAAATTAATTAAAATTGAGTTTGATTTTCTTAATTGTTACTATTTCTTGTGATCGAATCTGTGGAAACTCCAATAAGCCTTTTCAACCTTTTGCATGTTATATCTACAGGTTCAGATTGGGAACTCCCCCGTTTACAAAATTGAAAGGAAGCTTGGGAAAGGAGGATTTGGTCAAGTCTGTCTTGGCCGGCGGATTTCAGCAACCAATGCCAAAGACAGAATTTCGGGCATTAGTGCTCTAGAAGTGCGGCTAATTTGTCACTAATTTTTGTGATAAGGTTGATGACTGCATCTTTTAAATGGTTACATTTTTTATTTTGATGCAAATATTAACTGCAGGTGGCACTGAAGTTTGAACATAGAAACAGCAAGGGGTGTCATCATGGACCCCCTTCTGAATGGCAAGTTTACAAGTATGTACTTCTATTTTTGTTCATTTTATTATGTTGATGTTATTTTGAATTAGTCTCACCTGTATGAAGTTGCATATTTTAGCACCCTTAGTGGCATTCATGGGGTTCCTCGAGTGCATTACAAGGGTCGCCAAGGGGACTACTATGTCATGGTAAATTTCAGTCTGTTACCTGTTGTCTATCTATCCTGATTAATTATATTTCCCATAAAGATTACTAAATGCATTGGTAACATTGTTATGTTTACAGGTTATGGATATGTTGGGACCTAGTCTATGGGATATCTGGAATAATAACTCTCACACGTCAGTCCTTTTTTGGGGGTTTAATTGCTTCTTTTTTCCGCTTATGACTTCGTTTGGGGCGGATTTCTTACTGCTTCATAAAGCAGCTTTTTAGTTAAAAAATTAAAAAATTTGTACTTGAAAGCTGCTTTAAGAAGCAAAAAGAAAGTCGTTCCAAACGAAGCCTATATATGCTTGAGTTTGTGTTAACTTTCCATCTTCTTTTTGCAGCATGTCTACTGATATGGTTGCATGTATTGCTATTGAAGCCATTTCCATACTAGAAAATATGCACTCTAAAGGGTTGACCCTCTTCTAAACATACTTACAAAGATTCACTCTAGTTAACTATATTTACTGGTTTTGTTATGGTTTTTTTAGCAGCTCTAAATGTTTTATATTGAAAAACTCCTGTGACAGGTATGTGCATGGGGATGTAAAACCAGAAAACTTTTTGCTTGGGCCTCCAGGAACTCATGATGAGAAAAGACTATTTCTTGTTGATCTTGGCTTAGGTATTTCAATGAATTTTAATTTTTGCATGGAATTATGCATTGGATTATCATTTTCATCGAGTAATTTTTGACATATCATATAAAAACCATTCAGAGGATTCTTTTTCATTGCATTCAATCTTAAATTGTCAGCTACAAAGTGGAAGGATGGTTCAACTGGTCAACATGTTGTCTATGACCAGCGGCCAGATATTTTTAGGTATATCTTTTTTGGATTTTGTTGTCCAGATTTATATTGTTTTTTAACATTTGATTCATATTTTCCATCAAGATTGTCCTCAAATTTTGTTGCCTGTTTGTTTGATATGAAGAGGAACAGTGCGCTATGCTAGTGTTCATGCTCATTTAGGAAGGATTGGAAGTAGAAGAGATGATCTGGAATCCCTTGCTTACACGCTTGTTTTCCTTCTTCGTGGCCGTCTGCCTTGGCAGGGTTTGCAGGTTTGCAAATAAAACTGCATTTAAAAAGCCTTTAGCAATTAAGTATTTTTGTCAGATTTTTTACCCTGAGATGGAAGTCCCAAGTATATGGCCATTTATTGTGCAGAGCCTGGATAAAGTAGCTCAATCCATATGGAACTACTTCACTAGGTTCAAAGTGGAGGAAGCTTTATCTTTTTCCCTTTCTTTTTTCTCATGTATGTTTTCTACATTTTTACAGGGTGAGAACAAGGGTTTCCTTGTCTGTAAGAAAAAAATGGCTACAGCTCCTATTGCTTTGTGTTACTTTTGTCCATTGCCGTTCAGATTGTTCCTGGAGTATGTAGTGAATCTAAAGTTTGATGAAGAACCAAATTATGCTAAATACATTTCACTATTTGATGGCATAGTTGGTCCTAATCCAGAGATTAGACCACTTAATACAGATGGTGCTCAAAAGGTATTGAACAAACTTATTTATTGTGCTTAGGGCATTCCCTCATTAAGTGAATTGACTTTTTATTTCCTGTTTAAGGAGCTTTATATCTAATACTTTGCTAAATGCTGTAAAGCTTATATACCAGGTTGGCCAAAAAAGAGGGAGGCTGTCGATGGAAGGAGAAGACGAGCAACCAAAGAAGAGAGTGCGAATGGGGACGCCAGCAACTCAATGGATTAGTGTTTACAATGCCCGTCGGCCTATGAAGCAGAGGTTCTTATTTGAATACTTTTTAATCTAGCTGCATCTTAGGCTAGTTGATCATTTATGTTTTGTTGCAGATATCACTACAATGTTACTGATTTAAGAATTGCCCAGCATATTGAAAAAGGAAATGAAGATGGATTGTTTATCAGTTGTGTTTCATCGAGCTCAAATTTGTGGGCTCTCATTATGGATGCAGGCACCGGTTTTACTTCTCAAGTTTATGAACTCTCGCAAAGCTTTCTTCACAAGGTGACTTGTTAGAATTTGTTCATGTTTCTGTATTTTGTTTTTAAATCAGATTTTGCAGGTCTTATACCATATGATTCCAAGATTCTGCTATTTTGATTTTCTTACCCGTGTGAATGCTTTTTTTCTTCTTTTGAAGGAATGGATACTGGAGCAATGGGAGAAAAATTACTATATTAGTGCTCTAGCTGGGACAAACAATTGCAGTTCTTTTGTGGTGATGTCTAAAGGTAAATTACCGGAATTCTTTTAATTTTTTTGTCTTTTAGAGTTGTCAGAAAACCCTAAATCTGATGATGCTCCAGGCACCCAGTATACACAGCAGTCATACAAAGTTAGTGATTCATTTCCTTTTAAGTGGATTACTAAAAAATGGAGGGAGGGTTTCTATGTTACTTCCATGGCCACTGCTGGAGCTAGATGGGCAGTTGTCATGTCCCGAACTGCTGGCTTTTCAAATCAGGTGTTATTCTTTTTCTTTCCCTTCCATGGATCTAAAATCTGTTGGTTGAAAAGAAAAAAAAATTCTATCAAAGTCACAGCATCCAAACAAAGCTGAAGCGTTAGGTTCAAGAAGGTTTTTGATGTAGAACGGAGGGGGTCAGCCAAAAGAGGGGAAAAAGGGAAGGCGTTCACATACAGTGAATGTGTCCACATACGATGAATGTGAACTTAAGGAATTTCCAAATTTGAATTATTAAGATAAGGAAAGGGGAATTATGACAGGTCTTTAATTAAATTCAAATTTGGAGAATTAAGGAAATCCTCCTAATATAATTCGTCCTATTTTAAGAAAGAATTTCAAATTCAAATTAATTTAAAAACTTTCCAAACTTAAGATGCATCGAATAAGGAATACTTTCAATAATCAATTTGAAAAGTGGAGGGAAAGAGGAAATAGGAAGGGGGTAGGGCCGGCGGCTAGCATGATTATGGGTGATTGATATGAGGGATTAAAGGTGGCTATATTTAGAATCTTAAAATAGGAAAGTGGATTTAAATCAACTCCTATTTAAAAATTCAAAATCGCATGATTTGAGGGACTTCCCTAAAATAGTTTTCCTCATTTAGGAAGTAAAATTCAAATTCAATTAAATATGAATTTAAATAGTTTCCAAAATTAAAAAGAGCTAATTTAGGAAAGGATTTGAATGCTAGATTTTGAATCTTGGAGCCAAGGGATGGATGATGGCCGGCGGCTTTGGGAAGGGGATTGCGTTGGTGGTTGGGTGTCTTTTGGCCTAGGTTTTGGGTGGAGTTTTCGGTCAATAGGAGAAAGAGAGATGGGGAAGTGGCCGAAAATAAGGAGAATAATTAAAAAAAAAAAAAAGACAAAACTGCGAGTCTTGAACTCTTCCAAAGACTGACGGGTGATACATTGCCCTTCTCCCAGGGACTTCAAGCCACGAGCCCGGACCCATCCTACAGCTGGTGAAAACTCTGATTCCTTCCCATAGGAATCTCACTAACGTCCTCCAAATAGAACACAAGTGCATAACACAAATTTTTATTATAATTCCATCATACCTAATACAAGAGAAGGGGCCTTTATATATAGGCCTCAAAATAAACTAAAAGACAAATTTGCCCCTTTGGCTTACATAAGACAACTCTTAAAAAAAAAGGATAAAAAAGAAAAATTGTAAAATTAAATCAAAATGCAATTAATAAACTAAAATAAAACGTAGTGATCTCGGCCGTCGATGTTCGACTCTTCTTTTGAATATCGTCCACCGTCGGATGTCCGCATCAGTTTTCACTTACATATTTCTCATTTTCAGGTTGTTGAACTGGACTTCTTATATCCAAGTGAAGGTATTCATTGGAGGTGGGATAGTGGCCATCGAATCACTGCCACAGCTGCAACGCCAGATCAGGCTGCAATTGTTCTGAGCGTACCAAGAAGAAACCTTGCAGATGAAACGCAAGAGACACTTAGAACCTCTGCTTTTCCTACTCAGCATGTCAAGGTTAGTTCCTTCAACAATTCATTTTCTCTCTAGATATTATGCAAGATTCTATTCATACTTCATTGTTGTAATGTTATCAAACATTGTCGCTTCGTTTGGGACGGCTTTCTTACTGCTTCTTAAAGTAGCTTTCTAGTACAATAAATAAAATTTTTATGCTAAAAAATTACTTTAAGAAACAGTGAGAAAGCCGTCCCAAACGAAACCTTCATCTGCATCACATCAATGAATTCCATATCTGATTGGTGGGTTTTGCTTGATTCCAGGAGAAGTGGGCAAAGAATCTCTATATGTCATCAGTATGCTATGGAAGAACCGTTTCATGATTTGATTCTTTCTGTTTAGGGTTTAATATCAATTGCTCATTCTCAAAAGAAGCATCATGTAAGTTGGTGTGAGAAATTTCAATGTGCAGATGCCATTTTTAAGCATTTTTCACATTCCTGTCTCTGCTAATCTCCCACCATTAAGGTTTTGCATATCTGTTAAGATCATGAAATGTCCACTACAGATGAATTGCTCATGTTATCTTATTTTATAAAGGTAATCTGTATAGTGAATCAAAATGCTGATAAAAGTAAGAATATCAACAGTAAGCCATCCTGCTATAGATAACACTGCTGTTTTGTGTATGCAGTGGCAGGAAAACCTAACATTTTAGTAAGGGATTTGTCATTTGATAGTTGAGCATTTTCTTTCCTTTTTTTTTTGCTCAGTATATTTTGATTTCTTTATATTGTTACTTTTGCCAGTATTGGATTGCTATTGAACTATTGAAGACTGACTTAGCTTCTCCTATTTGCTTTGTCCTGTGAAGTTCTTTCAAACTGAATGTTGTTTATTTCCATGATCCTCTAGATTTGATACATGATTAGCTGCTGGTTTGTTCTACTCAATTCAATTAGGTGAAGGAACAACACCACCAAGAACACAATTTATTGCACAAATTGGATTTATTAGAGAAGTGTGGGATCTTGGGTCTATAATATTATCATGGTTAAGAAATAAAAATGATAACTAGAATATGCTTTGTTTTACATCAATTGTTCTACTTGATTTCTTTATTTTACACCGATTGTTCAGAGTGATGGTGAAATAGATGGGGATATTATTAATAGAATGCAATTTGAATGTTTGAAGTGGAGGAATGCATCGGGTTTGTTGTGTGATAGAAAAGTCCCTCTCAAACTCAAGGGAAATTATATTAGATGGTGGTGAGACCTGCAATGCTTTATGGTGTATTGATTTCACAAATTTTAATCAAATATGCTTGAAAGATTGTTATCTTCTACCAATCATCAACATTCTAGTTGACTCGATTGTGGGGTACTCGAGCTTAGCTTGTTATCATTAGATCAAGATGAACTTGAAAGAAGAGGATAAGACCTAACTTCATAGTACGTAATGTGTGTATTGTTATTTGTTCATGTTGTTGGGATTAAACATTGGAGTGCCTAAACCTAAAAGTTTACATTGATGAGCTGCGCATGAATTATCAAGGTCTAGATGGGTATTTTGAGGACTAGGATAGAATTTCTTGACTTTAAGGTTTCGTTACGGATGGCTTTTTTACTGCTTTTAAAAACTTATTCTAAAAAGCAATAAAAAAGTCGCACCAAACAAAATCTAATAGTGTATAATACAGATTGAATCCCAACAAGTTTATCTTAGTTAATGATAGTGAATGTGAATATGTAAGTCTTGGTTAATTTTGTTAAAGATTTTAAAATTTTTATAGTACATTATTGTTATAAACTTAAAACCTATTTTGTATAGATAAATTGATCACTTTATAAATTTAAAAAATTTAGTCAGCCACAAATTTCACTAAAAATTTTTATTCACCTTACGCACATTATAAGTTTTAAAACATTTTTTTTTTTTTTGATAATCGCAAAATACATGAACAAAAAAAAACTAAAAATATAGAACTTTACAACAACATATAAGATAGATTTAAATCATGCATTTATGATTTATCACAAAAATGCCTACAAACGCAAAATTTTACTGTAAGACGTATAAGCCAAAATTTGGAATCAGGCATTTTGTTATTTCTCTTTCCAAAAAAAAAATCAGACAAATTCTAGTAATTTTGACTTCTAAAATATAAGCGATATTTGAGTATAATTTATGTTCTAATCTTTTGTATTTATAAAATTACTTAACATTTTGTAAAAATTTGTTTTTTAATATTTGTAAAGTGATTTAACTTCTATTAAATTAAAATTTTTATACTCATTAAATTTCATAAAGTTAATTATCTTTTATAATGCAATTATAATAATAACGACGATATTTTCTTAATTACAAATTTTAATGAGATGCAATTAATTGCATTTGAACACAAGTCAAATAATAACAATTACATTTATAAAAGTTCATAAATGTTCATTTACTGCTTCTAAAGTTACCTAAACCATAAACAAGCAAATGAGCTGTTTGTGATTTTTTTAATCAATTAAGATAAATTCACACATATTACATAAGATTCAAATCTTTAAAGAATAATTTTGATCTCTCAACTCTGAGCAAAATAATCCCACCATAAAACTAATTTAACTTTTTTAAGGATTTGAGAGACCAAAATAATCTTTCAATATAATTGAAAATTATTTTGATCCTTCATAAAGAGTAAAAAGAATCAATTTGATCATTTTTCCTACCAAATAATATTTAAACAAACTCCACAGTTGAATCATCTACTTTTAAAGGCACTGAAGCATCCTAACATCAACAAGTGCAAAAGAAAAATCAAAAAATAATAATAAGAACAACAAAAAGAGCTATTTTTCCCAGGGAAAATGCACATATTAGACCATGCTATTAAAGAATGATCCAGTATGGCATCCTTACAAATCTGAATCGTTTAGCTATGTCTGCAATCCGCAGAAAGCAATCAATGGTTTTTGTCAAACATGAAGCTAAAATGATGTGAGAAACCAAAATGTCCTTCCGCGACAAGATCGTACAATACGAACAATATCATGGTCTGCGGCACAAACGACTCAGGTGAACTCTCTCCTGAAATTAGACAAAAATGGCATTGAAAGAGAGGGAAAGGAATTTGAAGTGTGCCATTTTAGTATGGGTTAATAGAACTGATGGATAATGCCCAAACTAATCGGTAAGTGCGTAACGTTAGAATTACTTAGATATTAATATGAAATTATATGCTAGCTATTAACTACTTAATGCAACCCTCCACTTTCTTATTCAGGACTTAGGACCTGACTGTTAAGGTTTAGCACCTATCTGTGACTAATTTCTCATTCACTCACATCAATGCATTTTAGAGGTCAAATACCTGAATTAAGTCAAAACCCATTCATTCTTCAAGTTTTGTTATTGATGAGTAACAGTAAGTTTTAGGTTTCGTTTGGGAGGACTTTCTTATTGCTTCTTAAAGCAGCTTTCTAATACAAAATCTTAAATTTTTTTACTAAAAAGCTGCTTTAAGAAGCAACAAGAAAGCTGTTCCAAACGAAACATTGATCTCCTTTTAACTCCCAAGCCCAAGTTAGATGCATTGGTTCAGTGACCAGATGATTGATAAGCTGTTGAGCTTTTGTGCTTTCTTGTCTCCATTTTATTTGTTATCTAGTTTCAACTAGTAATGAGAAGTGGCAGTGATTCTATGTGCCTCGTTCCATGTTGTGAACAACCAAACCTGCATAGGTGGACGACTGTATCTGGATTATAAGAAAATAATAAGTAAACCCAGTACCGATGAACCCGGCTATCCTATAGAAAGTGCAGTAAGGCATGCCTCCCTCCAAGGATTTTTTTTTTATAAGTTGGGCGGGCCAGCCGTCGGCCCATTTCATTTGAAAACCAGCCGATGGGACGGTTGAACCATCCAAATCATCTTAATGCCCCCACTTCAGTTAAAGCTCGCGTCAATGAGCTCGGCGAAGCCCTCCAAGGACATCTTTAAACTAAACTTATCATACTTCTCAATTAAATTAATGCCTAGATTGTAGTATTTATCACATGACTTACTGCAACGCATGACTAACATGATTTTATAATTTTATAGGTGAAATATAAAATATTGATAACAATTAAGCCTGGAAGATCACATTGAGAAGGTAAACAAAACTTAAAAGTACTTACCTCAGTTTGATCATGATCATATCGTACCAAGTAAATACACCTGCAGCCCCTTATGTCATGCATCTTTCGTTCAACTTGGATAACATGAGCATCGAAGTAGTTAGCAGCTTCATCTTTCTCCTAGACAAAGGAAAGGAGGAAGTTCAACATAATGGATAAAACACATTGGTGATGGTGGTTTTTGAAGTTGAGGCTATAGGTATAGTTTGGGGAGATTTTCTTTCAGCTTCTTAAAGTGGCTTTTTAGTACAAAATTTTTAATTTTGTACTAGAAAACTGCTTTAAGAAGCAAAAAGAAAAGTATCACATACTCGGAAACAGAGAACGATGTCTCCTTCTTTAATCTTCCAGCATTCAGAAGACTCCATTGGTATTGAGCGCTCCCGTACCCCCTTCCTGACATTAATCCACTCATCTTCCTCAGGACCAAACCCATCAAATCTCACACGAACTTCCTATAGTTGAAAAAAAAAAATTAATATGTTAAAAAGTGGTATACTGCAAAGGTCTACTTTAAAAAAAAAAATTGTTACAAAACTAAAAATAGAATTCACTCTTTTGAAGATTCATGCTTGACAAATTTTAGGATTTGGAAGATTTTCTCAAGTTCCAAAACACTCGAGCATTAGTTCAACTCTTCATAGGAAAATATTCAGATCTATGTGGGTATTATGTGACACGAGTTGAGTCAAAATCATAAGAATTGGAGGGATGTTTGAATTCAACACTTAACGCTCTAGATGCAATGAAAGAGCTCAAAGAAATGGGTAAAAATAACATTTTTCCGAAGTCAATGGCAATGATAAAATATCGTACCAATACTTGAAAAAAGAGTAATCTCTAAAAAATGGATAAAACTCTTAATTAGTACAAACACGAGCCCTGCAATTGCTTCATGGTTCAATTTACAAAAGATGATTTTTCAGATCAAATAGTTTTAGTTGAAGCACAAAGATCATAGAGAATAGCGAGTATTTTTTTGTTCAAAACATGCAACAACATGGAATAACCGATTTATGAACTGCAAAGCAGATGATTTGGCCTATACCCAGTGAAAAAAGACTAGTGATTGGAAAGATCCGTTGCACCAGGGTGATTAGTAGTGGTAAACATGGTCCTTAAAGAGCATAGAAATAAGAATTTTGAACTAACTTTGGTTCATTATTTCCGCGCAGTAAGTGAAATACTTTGCCTTTAAGAGACCTTTACCAAAAATAAAAATAAAAAACAAAGCCCGCCTAAGAATGTGATAGGAAATAGTAAAAACAGAAATTTAATCGCTGAAATCATAATTTCTGAAATTTGAACAAGCAGAATTTATGGTTTTTATGGATGAAAACAAAAGGAACTCACTCTTGATTGCTAGAAAATGAAAGAAAACAACAAGATACGAACGATCCTCTATTCGAGAGGAGGATCAATTTATCCAAAACTCTCTAGACGCCACTAGAGCCCAAGAACACCAAAGCACTCAGAAAGTTACCCACCAAAAAAATGCCCTAATCCTAATATAACTCCTACTTAAAGCAAACATAAAAAAAAAAAAAAAACAAAAAAGATTAAACAACCCCCCTATCTCTTCCCAAGCTATGGACCCCACCCCCAAGGGCCTGTAGGTGTTGAGCCGGCCCAAGGGCTAGGCCGGCTGGACCAGTCCCTCCTAGACCGGTTGATGCAAGACTGCAGTGCTTTAAATGGATGTGATAAGAACTTACACGATTTCTTGATAAAAATAATTATGATTAGAACTATTAGCAATTTAAACGACAAAATAAAACGTAAGAGCGGTCACTTCTGTTTAGGCCAAGTTACATAATAAGCGCTTGAATTATCAAAACAATAAAGAGATTCAACAACATGCGAATGGAGAGTAGTTTTTAACAAAAATCCATAATCTAACAATAAGATTGGAAGCATGAAAAGTACGCTCGGTCCTACGTTTACTAAGCTTAGTCAAAGGTGAAACAAGTTCCTACGTTTACTGAGCTCAGGCAAGAGGCAAGGCACGATTCCTTGCGACTAGATCACCACCTACAAGATTAGTGAATTAGGAAGATAATTGAAAAGGGGAAGAAGTTTACCTTTGTCGAAGCCCGGAAACAAGTAGTTATGTTGAAGATGTTCGTCGTAGCTTCTCTTGAAGGTTCAACTTAGAGAGAAAGAAGTTTCTCTAGTGTTGAAGTGTTGAACACGCTAGTTGATACTTTCCTTGAAGGCTCCTATTAAAAGAGATGAGCTTATTTTGAAAACCCACAAGGAAGAAAGGGGAATAAGTGGCCGGCCATGAGGGGAAGAGGTTTGGGAATTTGGGTTCAGATTTTGGGAAGGGATTTAATTCAAATCCTTCATTAGTTGTTCCCCTTGATTGAAAAGAAATAGTGAAGGCGGGTAAGAGAGAGGAAGAGGGGTTTGATTTAATTCCAAATGGGGAAGACTCTCTTTTAGAAAGATTTTAAATAGATTGGGAGCATGGGGATTTTCGGCCAAGAGGACTTGAATTATTTCCAAAGGGGTAACTTGAGTTTTGGAAACAATTCCAAAAGAAATTTCATGGGGGGCCGGCGGCATAGGGAAAAGGGAGGATTTGTGGGAGCCTTTAATGCCTTCTTGATTTAAAGAATTAAATTTGAGGAGAAAGATCTCATCCCAATTTAATTCGAAACTTTTCTAAAATAGGATTTATATTTTAGGAAATAATTTCAAATTTGAATAAATTTGAATTTTGTAATTATTTGAGTTCCCTAAAATATAAAGAGTTAATTTAGGAAAGGTGTAATGGCAATTAGTGAGGGAGGGGAAGGCCAAGGGGAGTGGCCGGCGGTTGGAATGGGGTTCGAGTTAGGGTGGATGTAAGGTGGCCGACGGCTTAAGGAGATGGGGAGAATGCCTAGGCCGGCGGTTAGTTGGTGTGGGATTAGATGGTCGGTGGTGAGGTGACGAAGGGAAAGAGAATAAAAAATAAAGGAGAAGAACCACGAACCCGTCCGTCTCCAAGATTGGTGGGTGATCCAAATTCCATCTCCAAGGGACCTCACTCCAATATCTCTCAAGCTCTCATAAGAACTCAAACATGGGGGAAATTTTTATCATTTAATCATTAAACTTTCAAAGAGAAACATAAGGGCTATAAATAGCCTCGTACCGTACATAGGACTCAAAATAAGAAAGATGACAATGCCCTCAGGGCTTACATACGACCTCCCTTAAGTAAAGGGTAAAAACGGAAAAACAACTATAACATAAATAATAAAAGACAAATAACATAATAAAAGACAAATACATGAAATGACTCAAAATACATCGACTCGATCATGGTCGCAGACCGACGGCCACGTCTCTAATAGACTTTTCATGTGCTAATGTCCCCATCACAGGCTAGGAGTATCAATACCCCGCTCCCAAAGAACCACCATGTCTTCGAGATGGAAAGACATGAATTGATGATGCACCCTCTCGTAAAGCTCCCACGTCGCATCATAATCTGGAAGGTCCCTTTACTTGATTAATACCTCATTTACCCCTCCTTGGTGCAACCCTTGTAACTTCATGGGGTTTCGATACCACTTCCAAATCTTTAGTCAATATTGTTGGCAATTATGAACTTGTTGTGTGATCCTCTACAGCTCTCCTCAAGCATGATACATGAAACACTGGATGTATGGTAGCGATGGGGGGCAACCTCAAATGATACGCCACTGTCCCAATTTTCTCTAATATCTCATAAGAACCAAAATATCTTGGAGCTAGCTTCTTGTTCCTCCGGTTAGCAATTGTCCTCTATCTGTAAGGTCAAAGCTTTAGGAACACCCTATCCCCTACTTCAAACTAAATATCCTTCTTGTGTCCATCCGCTTGTTTCTTTATAATTTGTTGCGCCCTCAATAGATGTCTCTTCAATTTTTCCAACACCTTGTCCCTCTCCTCCAAGTACTCCTCTACTGAAGAAAATGGGGTGTTATTATGCTCAAAATACACCAGATGAAGTAGATCCCTTCCATACAACACTTTGAATTGTGTCATCTTAGAGACAGAATGATATGAAGTGTTATACAAGTACACTTCTTATGCTAACCACTTGGCCCACAGTCGGGGGTCTCCGACACAAAGCATCGTAGGTATGTCTTCAAGCTCCTATCAACCACCTCCATCTGCTCATCTATCCGCAGGTGGTAGGGGGTGCTCCTCTTTCATAGTCTGAATAGCTCCCTCCCAAAGTAACTGAGGAACACTTTATCCCTATCGGATACTATAGACTCCGGTATCTCATCTAGTCTGACCACCTCCCTAATGAAAGATGATGCCACTGTTACTGCCATGCAGGGGTGTCATAGGGGAATGAAATGAGCATACTTGCTCAGTCTGTCCACTACCACCAAAATCACTGTGAACCCTTTCGATTGGGGTCGCAGGATACCTCCTCCTACACCCGACAAGGTAGAGCTAAAGGATGCAATAATCCTCCTGGAGACATGGACATGTACTTGCTCCTCTAACAGATCTCACATCTGGCTACCAATTCCTCCACATCCTTGTGCACCCCCTTCCAATACAACTCTGAGGCTAGTCTCCTATATGCCTTATGCACCCCCGAATGACCCCAAACAGCGCTCCCATTGAACTCCTAGAGCAGGTGTGGAATATGAACTGATGTCCTAGGAATCACAAATCTCCCCTTGTACATGAGCCTTTCACCTTCTAAAGAATACCCTGGGTGGCTACTCCCCTCCTTCAATAAATCAACCCTAATCCTTCCCAACTCCTCATCCCATGCACTCTCCTCCTTAATGGCCTCTCAATCCAGCATTAGTGGTATTGATAGTGCTAGTACATGTAACTCCCTCATATATTTGGACAAGGCATCTATTGTCTTGTTCTCCATCCCTGACCTACATTGTATTTCAAAATCATATCCCAACAACTTTGACATCCCTCTTTGGTGCTCCTTTGTCACAATCCTCTGCTCCAACAAGTTCTTCAAGCTTCGCTGGTCTATCCTGACAATGAAAATGCCAGCCTAACAAGTAGGGTCGCCACTTCTAGATGGCTAACACAATGGTCATCAATTCCCTCTCATAGACTGACTTCATCTTGGCCCTAGTTATCAACACCTGACTGAAGAAGGCGAAGGGTCAATGGCTCTGCATGAGTACTACTCTCAATCCATATCCTGAGGCATTTGTCTCCACTATGAAGACCTGAGTGAAATACAATAGGGCTTGGACAACTACCAAGATCAGCACAGTGGTCATGGCCTTCTTCAAGCTCTCAAAAGTTGTTGTGACCGCCTCCCCCATAAGAACTTATCCTTCTTCAATTGTTATGTCGGTGGTCATGCAATGATGCTATACCCGTTCACGAATCTCCTGTAGTAGCCCGTCAGCCCTAGGAATCCCCACAGCTCCCTAAGATTCTTGGGCAATAGCCGTCTCAAAATAGCTTCAAGTTTGATATGATG